TGGAATGGCCATCAGAGCTGTTATCGTTTTATCCTTTATGTCCTGAATGTCATCAGGGCCGGCCGAGTGGCTCAGTTGGTTAAGAACTTGCTCAAGAGTTTGAGCTCTGAGCAACAGCGGTTCTATGCCCGGCCCGAGCTGAGCTGCTGCTAAACTGCCAATAGGTAGCAGGATGGCTCAGCTAAAAAAAAAAAGAAATAAATGAAAAATAAAAATAAAAACACAAGCAGCTAATCTCACAAGCTTTATAGGGACCCTGTGGCTTAGTCGGTCAAAGAGCCTGTCTAGTGAATGTCATCAAAATGTCTTCCTTTCAATTTTTCCTTTATCTTCGGGTAAAGAGAGAAGTCATTGGGGGCCAGATCAGAAGAGTAGGGAGGGTGTTCCAATACAGTTATTTGTTTACTGGCTAAAAACTCCCTCAGAGACAGTGCCTTGTGAGCTGGTGCATTGTCGTGTTGCAAGAGCCATGAATTGTTGGTGAAAAGTTCAGGTTGCCTTTTTCATGCAGTCTTTTCAGCACTGACACATAGTAAACTTGGTTAACTGTTTGTCTAGTTGGTACAAACTCATAATAAATAATCTCTCTAATATAAAAATAAAGGTTAGCAACATCATTGCAACAAGTTCACAAACTTAATTGTCATACTTTGCATGTACTCTGATGTTCATTACAGCTTTATTTATGGTGGCCAAGACATGGAAACAACCAAAGTATCCTTTGGCAGATGACTGGACAAAGATGTGGTATAGGAATTTGATGTCGCGCTTGCTGTGTTCAGATCGCCTGAGCAGCGGGGCAGGGTCCTGGGTTAGTCATGGCGTCCCTGTCTCAGAGACTGCAAACTAAACCAGTCATTACTTGTCTCAAAAGCATCCTGCTGATCTTCACTTTCATCTTCTGGATCACTGGTGTTATCCTTCTTGTGGTTGGCATTTGGGGCAAGGTGAGCCTGGAGAACTATTTTTCCCTCTTAAAAGAGAAGGCCACAAATGTCCCCTTCGTGCTCATCGGCACTGGCACTGTCATCATTCTTTTGGGCACCTTTGGCTGTTTTGCTACCTGCCAGGCTTCTGCACAGATGCTAAAACTGTATGCAATGTTTCTGACTCTCAATTTTTGGTTGAACTGGTTGCTACCATCGTAGGGTTTGTTTTCAGACATGAGATTAAGATCAGCTTTAAGAATAACTATGAGAAGGCTTTAAAGCAGTATAACGCTACAGGAGATTATAGAAGTGATGCAGTAGACAAGATTCAAAATACATTGCATTGTTGTGGTGTCACCGACTTTAGAGATTGGAAGGATACTAATTATTACTCAGAAAAAGGATTTCCAAAAAGCTGCTGTAACCTTTATTGTTCTCCTCAGAGAGATGCAAATAAAGTGAACAACAAAGGTTGTTTTATAAAGGTGATGACCACTATAGAATCAGAAATGGGAGTTGTTGCTGGAATTTCCTTTGGAGTTGCTTGCTTCTAGCTGATTGGAATTTTTCTTGCCTACTGCCTCTCTCATGCCATAACAAATAACCAATATGAGATAGTGTAACAAGCATAGCACGGTCTTACTCCTCTCCAACTTTAAGGACATTTACATCCTCCCTCCCCCGTGAAGTACCAGATCGCCTGGTTGGAATACTGCCTGACATTACCCACGAATAGACTGAAAAACTACACCAATAGTCTGATTCAATCTAAACCTTTGTTCAATATAAGTCCACCTTTTGTCCCATTCATCAAAGATCATTGAAACCCCTTACCACTCTGAAACACTGGAAGAGCTAGTAAATTGTAAATGAAAAAAAAAAAAAGAAGATGTGGTATATACACAATAGAATACCACTCTGCCATAAGAAAAGATGAAATACTCCCATTTGCAACAACATGGATGGATTTTGAGATTATTACGCTAAGCGAAATCAGACAGAAAAGTTGAGAACCATATGACTTCACTCATATGTGGGATATAAAACTGAAAGCAACAAAGGAACAAATAAACAATTAAAAAACAAAAACTTGTAGACACAGACAACAGTTTAATGGTTACCAGAGGGGAAAGGGGAAAGGGAGCTGGTAGAGGAGGGTAAAGGGAACCAAATATATGGTGATGGAAAGAGAGCTGACTCTGCATAGTGAACACACAATGTGATATATAGATAATATAGTATAGAATTGTATACTTGAAACCCATGTAATTTTACTAAATTGTCACTTAAATAAATTTAATTTTTAGAAAATTTCAGGGATGATTGCTTGATCAATTTTTATTAAAGGGATTATTATTATATGTTATATAATAATATATATTATTAATTGTACTATTTTTATATATTATATATTAATTATAATATATTATTATATTCTGGGGCAGTATTTCTTTTCTCTTTTTTCATCATATTTTTAATTTCAGTATAGTTGGTATACAATATTATATTAGTTTCAGGTGTTTAGTATAGTGATTAGACATTTATATACCTTACAATGTGACTATCACACTAAGTCTAGTAATCATTTGTCACTGTGCAAATTTATCACACTATTATTGACTGTATTCCCTTTCATCTTTTTCA